TACTGGCATACAGTAGGCCACCCCTTCCTTTCTCGTGGTTGTTGTAAAAAGCAACTAAGAGAACTTAATGACTAAGGAATGAACATCAGCGTCTTTCTTAAAACATCACTAAAGCCTAACTGCGGTTACCAACCCGCCTGCCAAGCGTGGATACTACTAGCAAAACCTCCTTTACGAAGAAGGCCTATGCTCAGCAGTAGACAGTTACTGACTGATGGGATGGGATGGGGTCAGACTTAAACTGCTATATATAAGAGGTAAAACACATTTATTAAAAAAAATGTTCCTACCAGTTGTCTGGTACCCAGAGCACAAGTTCTCTTAGTTTAGGGCTAGGTGACGCTGTTTAATATTTCAGTAATATTTATTTTTATTACATAATATTTAATTTATTTAAGAATGAAAAAAACACCAAATATAATGAATGAAATTGTTTTGTATGTTTCCTAGCTCATCTTATACTGTGAATAACACTTACAATGAAAAACAAAGAAACAAATATTTTAGTGGCACAACTTGGAACACTTTTGTCATAAATAATGATACTGTTATGACAAAAGATTAAGCACGTCACGTTCATAGCAAGAGATTTGACGGTCTATTGCCTGCATGTTATTTTCCTTATCAGAAGTTTTTCCACCATGGTGAGTAGCGTTACGAATTAGAGTTATTAGCAAGACAGGATATATTGCTAATAATGAAGCTATTTGACCCTATTACTAATAATTTCTTTCCCGCCCCAAATTTTGGGGTTACCCGATTAGTTATTAGGACTACGATAGGAGCACTTATTTATGAAAATAGCTCAAGGAACCCCGAAGTAAATAGATACATGAATCAAACCGATATAAATAATAAACAGTCTTTACACTACCTTGTTTTACATATAGATTTAGCTTTACGAAAAGAACAGTGACTGCAAACGTGACGCAATTAATACACCAACAAAAGGGAAATATCCTTATAGATTGCTAAAATAATTAACGGAATCAGTTTAAAGATATCAAAGATGTTACGATACATACAGAGAAAACCCATACAGGCCAATTAGTAACCTCCTCTTTTAAAGAAAAGTTATATATAATTTTAACATTAATCACTATAAATAGATAAGTCAAGTACGGAAGAGTTTGTTAAACTTCTACTTTAGATAATAACTGTAAAACGGCAACTAACTGTGTAACGGCAGTTCAATCAAAACTTGTTCCCTATGTTTGTATGCCACAAAATTTACGATTGTTTTGATCGAGGAAAATTGATAATTAGAGTTAGAAATTCTTGCAGTAAAATACTAGCTGTTACCCGTAACTACGCTTGAAAATATTGATAACCCTATTAATTATAATAAATGCGAAAGTTTGTAACAATGGGTGGATGGTGAATGCTTAAATGGTAGCATGAATTACAAAATTGATATAGAAACAATACGGAAATAAACTATCAATAAATCGCATAGCATAGTCCCAAAAAACTGCAGACAATTTGATAATCTCCCCTAAAGACATATTTTAAAACTTGCTTAAAAACCAATAATGATTTATAAAAGTAATAAATCATTGTCATCATACCAACCGTTAACTGTCCACTGCTGAATATAGGCCTCCTCCATAAGAGAGATTTTGCCAATAGTTGTCACGCTTGGCAGGAGGATTAGTAACCGCAATTAGGCTTTGGTGACGTTTTGAGAGGGTCGCTGTTGCCTATCTGTCTACCATTTCATTCCCTTAGTTGCCTCTTACGACACTCACGAGACAGGAAGGAGTGGCCCATACTGTACCGGAACCACACGGCTATAATGCAATAACTTATTTACTAATTTTAGTATTTTTATTTTGCCAATACTACGTATATACCTATCGTATATTTCGCAAAACATGTTACCATGACATTCGGTAGCTAAAGTACCCTCGTCAACGTCAAGTGGTCGCGCGGCGCGACACGACAGATCGCGCTGTGGCAATAAATAAGCAAAACCATTACACTATCTAGAATTTAATTGCACTCAACTTTATAGTATTTTCATTTAATTAAGCTATACACATAAATGCTGTAATGATTACACCCACTAACTTATGTCTTGTTCTATTCGGAATGATAAATAATAGCCATTTGACAACGTAACTTACGATCGAACGCATGGTGAAATATGCTTCCCCTCGTTTGATAAATAGCTCTTCCAAAACATTCATGTTAAAAGTTTTATATCTTGCATAATGTCTTGTGATATTTTTATTGTGTTGGTATCGTTAATCGTCATTAAAAAAAGATAAATCATATAAGAATTTATTTTTAGAACATGCGACGTGATTTTTTTTTATTAAAAGGAATAATACTCGTAGACTACAAATCTATTTTTACAGAAACGAACAAAGGTAAATGTTTTTAATAACATCAGTAACTTATTGAATGTTAAATTTATCTATTTACGTTCTTATTTTCTCAATAATAAAGATCTATATAAATAAATTAAATAATGTTTGATAATAAACATAGGACTCAGGAACCAATATTATGTCTACAGATTTTTAATGTTTGGTTAAAGTTTAAGGGACATAAAATTGCATTTGTATAGGACAACATTTGTCGAGATATTACGTTACGGAATTATCAGGAACAGCAATCCTTCGTGTTCTTGCTTGTATAACGAAAAAAAGGACACGAGAAAAAAACTCTCTTGAAAATGGCTGGACCGATTTGGCAAAGTTTTATTTAATGTTCGTGATAGGCCGATTAAGGTTTTTGGGGAAAGAAAAAGGAAATTGGAACTTGGTTAAGACAATATCTGTTGGATTAACTGAATTGAACGGAGTTTTATATGTTTTACGCCATAAACCGTATTTTTTACATCTAAAATGTCCGAGGATTAAATATTTCATGAAATCATTATTTTTACTTTGAAGATAACAAAAAAACATACGGTGTCTCTATAAGTAAAAAAGATAACTACAATTATATGATTTTTAATTAACAAATAAAAAAGATAATATTTGTATCTTTTTTATTATAAATAAAATATAAGGCATAATCAATTTATTATAATATAATAAAGATCGTAAATCTGCTACGCAATTAAATTTATTATTTAAGATCTGTTAACGTCACAGACGAGCAGTTCTCGCACAATTTCATATCATAATTCACATTTATAGTCACATTTGCCAGTAATATATTTAAAGCTGGACAGTACCCAATAACAATGCTATATACATATGTGAAAACACACTAAAAATCTACAACTCCACCCAACTGATACGTGTTGTTTGCTTTATAAATTACATAAACAACCATTTTGACTAGTTAGTACGGCCCACAGTAATTAATCGCATTAAGAGTTCAGCAAAGAATGTCATTATTAAGCTTTGGGTGTGTCAAGTACCAGCAGTTTGTCTGGCCGGCGATGTCTCGAAGATAAGGTTTTATGTAGCGTAATGCGGTCAGATATAAACCAGCCAAGCTTCGCCTTTTAGATAGAAGGACATAAAAGTAATCTCGCGGCGTTCTTGGACCCGCTAGTCAATTTGCTTTTATGATGATGCTCCATGCTTGTTACCATTCTATTATCTATTGTCTCTAGTTTGAATGTGGTTGTTTTAAAAAATATAAATAACTTCTAGTAGAACACTATTTGACTTTATGTTTACTTGTGTTTCAATCTGTTACATGATGTTAAATATGAATCCTTATTAATATTGGAAATGAAAGTAAGCTTGTGTGTTTATTAACTCTTGATATCTTAACAGCTCAACCAGTAGTTATTAAATTTAATATACATGATTTATTAAGGATATATAAAGACATAGGCTACTTTTCATCTGGGATAATCGATATTTACTAAATAAAACTAAATTAATACGAATGGTGGCGTTAGGCTCCCCTCCTTCTAATATGCTCGGCAAAATGTGAGAATTTCAAATATTACGTTCACAATATCGATAATTAACAGTCTACAAATTCCTCTGTCTAGCCCTCTAGGGCTGACAATCATGAGTATATTTGCATATTTTTATTAAATGAAAGTATTTCCATATTTAGACATAGGTTAGCTTACGGACAATGCGCATGGCTTGTTTTCATATGACTTTTTACAAGGATACTTGTAACAAAATTGTCGGGTTGATTTTGAAAAATGAGGTTTGTTTCGTTTCACAGCTACCAATATCATTGAGTACATGAGAAATAACTAAGTGTTTTGGTTATTTGACTTGAGAACTGTCAAATTATATGGAAAATAGAACAAGTGTTGAATTACTTCACACTTTTACAATTAACTTTAACGGTAACTTTACACTTTGCAGATACTATAATACAAGTAGCTATCATTTCATCATCATCATTATCAGTCCTATGTCATTGGTCTTGCAAGCATAGCATGAAAAAGCACTTAGTGAGTCTACAATGCGCAGCCAACCGTGAGGAAAAGAACTTTCCCATTTTGGTTGTTAGTGTTCAGTCCTGTTCCTGCACTCACTCAGAATTATGGGGTGATAATATTTAGTTGTTAAACTATATATTTTGCAGAAAACAATTTTTCTCAAAATATTACAAGAAAGAATCCATGAAACTCCATTATCCATCGTATCTATTGTTACGCAGACAATATATACGTATTAAGTATGACCCTTGATCGAGTGGTGTCTTAACAATTTAATATAAAATACAAAGACAGGAAATCCATCATAAGAAAGGACGTGTTCGCTCATCACCGCCGCATAGTCTAATATCTACTCAATTTTATCCTAAAATCCATAATTTATACGCAGGTCATTAACTGCCTGAATTTTACAAAAAGTTTAGATCTCAACAAAAGCTTTTGCTGTGTAATTTTTGTCTCATTAATTTTTTTCGATGGCTATAATTGAAAAACTAAGTTAGCAGGAATATGCTTGTGATATTTCTACTAGAAAGATATGAAATGATCATTTATTATCCGTGACGTGAAGGTTAGATTTACCATGTATTTTGTATGTGAAAGATATAATTAGCTTTATTAAAATACTTACCTAACAAATTCTGTAGAGAAATCAGCCGCAGCGTCACTAGGTTCATCCCAACAAGATGCAACCGCATCACTGAAGAACTGAGCTTGAGCTGACCAAGCGTCACATGCCTGCAGTACTCGACGCAAAGCCCCAACTGCCATTCGTACTGCCGCACGAATGAATGTAGGATCTGTAAATTGTAATATATATTACACATGTTTTAATACATTTCTTAATATAGCGAAACTGCACGAAAATATGTATATAATAGAAGGCATTAATGTCTAAGATACAGGCTAGGCCTAGTTTAGACACTAATATGCTGGGCATAATGCTACATTTTATACACATATAATTCACTTTGAAATTTCTGTAAGCCCATGACTGTATATTTTTATGTGCAATAAATCTTTATTATTAAAAAAATTATGAACTTGTTTATCATTAATCTATGTATATCTAATTTAAGTAAAAAATATTTTTAAAGACTACGTAGATATAATAGTAGTGAAGTTAAAAAAAATTACGTTTTTTTTAAATTTTAGGTTAAGATTATTAAATAATATATACAAATAAATATATGGATAAGTAAATAAATAATAATTATTAAAGTGTTAATTAAGTTCATGTATTTATTTCTATCTTAGACATTAATCTACGACCAGATATTTATGATTCGTATACGTTGTATAATATTTATTTCATATAATACGATTTTACTTACCAATTTTCATAGGTTGTGGATGCAATGCCAATAAACCCACCGGGAGACTATTAAAAATTTCGGAAATATTATTTTGGGATTGGTTTCTTTCAGAGTCTTTCACGTCTTCTTCTTTAAAATTATGATCTTTTCTTTTTTCCATTTTATCTCTTACATTATGCATTATAGACGTTTGCACCGTGGGATTCATTAAGAAATCACTAATATCACTTGCGAGTAATATATTATCTTTCAGTGGACTATTTTCATTATTATTATGTATAAGTTTTCCTACCGACGAATTCTCGTCGTCATTCACACTACCTACATTTATGCTATTTACATATTTATTAAAAGATTCATTTTTCATTTTGCTAAAACTAATACGTCTACTATTATCTCTATTAAGGAAGGACATCTTTCCCTTCTCAATTGAATTCTTTTCGATTTTAGAAGTTTCAACGCCTTTGTTATTTACATAATAATTTCTAACACCTTCTGAACTAATATTGCGACTACTGTCAAATGACTGACTAATATTTATATTTAATAATTTGTTGTTCACACTGTGCGCTTCCGACTTATTTATATTTCTACTAGTACGACGAAAAATTGAATTTATTGAACTATTCTTTACATTAATTCCATCGTCATTATTTAATATTTTTTCAGATAAATTAATAGATTTGCTTGATATATTGCCTGCCTTTGCATCCTTTATGAAATTATTGTCTGGATCATCTCTTCTGTAACGGTCAAGTGTGTCTTCTTGTTTTAATGCGGTACTCTTGGCCCCAAAGCTTTCATTGTCTTGATCATTAATATCTGTATATTGTTTTCTATCGCCAATGTTATGGAAGACATCAAACTCAGTGGAAGCATCAATCCATAGCCAGAAAAAATGTCCATCAAGCATATTTAGACGCTTGGCCTCATCCATAACAAGTTTAGCGTAATGTATGTCACATATCAAGACAACGACTCCTCGGGTTAATCTTGAAACCTCAGCAAGTCTCCTACAATAAAAATCAAACCAAATATAATTGAAACTTATATTCTATTTATTTAATTAATATTACACATGCATATAATTGTAATAAAGGGATATAGTCTCTTATAATCCAATATGCCTGTTCCTCATGGGCTAATAATATTTTAAATACGTATGATCAGTAATTTGAATTAATATAATATAACGATTCAATTTTTAAATATATTTAAGAGTCCTGAGTATATACTATTTTAGAAAATTTGGTGAGTTTTAAGTTCTAAAATAATATGATCATCATCGATTTTTCTTTTTAGCTACAACTGAAAATGAACATTAAGTTTTGTAACCCTTGTTTCACGTCGGTTTATTTTACCGTATATATCAAAATACAAATATATTTTGTATTTGAGCTTATCTTGACAAGAGAAAGATAATGTCCTTTTATATCAACGTACTCAAATAAATAAATAAATGTGGTAAGAGTCCATCAGTCCTATATATTAAGTATATAGATATAAAGAATCATGCATATTACTTCAATGCAATATTATGAAAGACTGCCTGAAAACCTATGTAGGTAGGTGAGTCAGATCCTAAAAAGAATTATGAACTTTATTATCACTGCATTATGATGGTCATTGCAAACTGGTGGAATATTGGCGAATACTACAGAATAATTTCAATTTATAGCTTATAAACATGACAATAAATTGATTAGTTAATAATTATTTTTGAAAGGAAAAATTAAACTTATAAAATGCATAATTAATTCGCAATTGCTGGTGCTGATGCTGAGCTATTACAGTTCTTAACAAGAATAACCGAGTGAAATATTTTTATTGTGACTAAACTTGGTAAATTACTTATCTAAAAAGTCGTGACTATCTTCATTGATTGACACAGATTAACAAAATATATAAAAACTGAAGTGAATAAGTAATCTTTGAATATAATACTTATATATTTAAATAACTTTATTTTACACCCAGAAAGCAATTTTAAATGAAAACTTACCTGAAAAGAGCATGGCGGGAATATTTTGTAGGGAGAGAAAGCCATTTCGGATTAAGTGGTTGAGTGGTAAGAATTGAAGATAGATCTTTTCTCAAAGAGAACGTTGAGTAGATATCTTCAACGGCAAGTAAAGTAAAAGAATGCCAATGTGTATGCAAAAGCGTGGCCCTGTAAAAATATTAGATTATTTAATACTACGTAAACGATAAACCATATAATTAAAACAAGTATCTATTGTCCCTAAAAAAGACGTTATCAATTGTTAACGCACTAATAAACGAATGAAATCTTTAGTTACTACTTCGCGCAATTGAATAGTCCCTATTGATTGAAGAAATCTTGGAGATTAGAAAAAAGTACTATGAAAATCTGTTCAGAATTGCGACGTAATCGCGTGTTGCAAAATTCAAACAAATTGAGAATGTTTTTTTTTTAGAAGTCGCAATAATAAAGTAATAAACAGTAATAAGGAGTAAATATTTATAAGCTTATACCTAATCATTAACCATAAATGCTATACCTGAGTGCATGCAATGTTTCTCTTGCGGTAATTTCAAGCCTTATCTCCAAAGGAAGCATTTCCTGTGAACAATATTGCATTTATATAATTTTAATCGCTTTTTATTTTTAATTGTACGCGCGGCTTTGAACGCATAAATTAGGATAAAAAGATACCTATATTCGAGGATATAGTCTATCTGTGTACCAAATTTCATTTAAATCTATTCAGCCGTTCAATATTTCGATATTTAATTATATATTTGTTTCTAAACTTGATTGAGCAACAAATATCTAAATATCTTTACAAATTTTCATATATATACTGAATATGTCATATCTACCAAATTTTAATTTTGTACTTATGGACTACAATAGAAAATTTTGCCTATAATTTCTTAATAGTTCTGAATAACAATAGCATGTTATGATTATAAATTTACTTTATATATAAACTAAATAGTAATAAAGTGTATTAATAAACTTGATTCAAAAATCTATAAAATCTGTCTATATACATATATTTGTAAGTAGGAACAATGAACATATTATAGATATAAACAAAAACATAAAACAACAACAATAATTTGTTTTGTAATCTCACCATCCATACTATTATTATTTCTTAATTTGTGTTTATAATAAATAAATACAAATATATAAAATCGGGCACATAAAGTTTATATTACAAATACATTTATTGAACGTCGATTTTAAATTAGTTAATCTGAGTGTGATAGGAAACTTCTACCTAAATGCCTACTGCTTAATTAAACTTCCAATAACTAATTAATTATTTAAACCAAATTCAAAACTTCGCCAGTTGTTTTTCTGGTTTCGAAGTAAACTGTATATACCTATTCTTAAAGGGGTACTTTTCAATCAACTATCGACTTTATTGTTCAAAACGTAAGTTTATAGTGTTCAAAAATACTTTAAATTTGTTGTTCTCTGTCCTAATCGTGTTACTGTCGAAAAATAGATGTATTTGTATGGCAGTGTTTTGTTTTAGCGTTTCGTTTGAAGAGTTAAATACGGTAGTAAATTTGCAGGATATAGTTTAAATAAATAACATAAAAATACTTTTAATTTTACTTTATTTATATATTTTAAATTTATTGATCAATAAAATATAGTACAAAAGGTTTGCCTTTTATGCTATAGGTATTCTTTACCTGCCAACCTTAAGGATGTGCAGAAATACTCGATGTCGGTTTAAATAATAAACTAATTTATATTTTACTATAATATGGTAAATTACATACATAAAAACATAATAAATTCATATTTTTTATGCAACCTACAATGGTAAATAATTATAACATAACAAAACATCATAATACTAAGCATTCTTGAATCGTAACATAGGCGTCACAGGTTATTCTATTGACCATGTCTAGGTGACGGTAAAAACTTTTCATCAATAAAATAATCGAAATATACTATTACTCGTATATTAATAACATTGTGCTTTTTAAGAGCGTTATTAGTTCACGTCAGAGCGTAATCGTTGGTAAAGTGGGTAATAAATGACCATCGTTTTCCGCGACACCAGGCTGGCGCGCTCGCATCTGCGGAAAGAAAAATATATGCCCCTAAAAAAGTTCCACAAAACGAGAATTGTCCCTGATTTTTGGAAATATTACGTACATCGTAAAATCTGCTTTAACTCGTTCATAAGAAGTACCTCATTTTTATTCGTGCCACACTGCGTTGTACTGATACGATATTATCACCTCTTTGTTTTCATGTAAACCAATTTCTTGTCCTAACATATTAAATACACCTACATTTTATACACAAACAATAGGCAAGAAGCAAAAAAATACAATCTTCGACACAAACATTTACAAAACCTTATTAGGTATTGTAATGTAACCTACGATTCTTTTTTGTTTTTCTTTATAAATTATATCCAAGTTTTTTTTTATTTTTAACTACTGCTGTACTTAGTGTATGTAGACAATATGTATTTATTGTAATGAATTATAATGTTCATTACTAATCGTATTAGGTAGGTTCAGGTCAGCTTAATTTTCTAATTAATTATTTATTTATTTATTTATTTTATTTTTTTTATACCACTGAGGTGGCAAACAAGCATACGGCCCACTTGATGGTAAGCGGTTATCGTAGCCTATGAACGCCTGCAATACCAGAGGTATTACGCGCGCGTTGCCGACCCTGAAGAAACCTCTTTACCCCCCTTTTGAAGAACCCCATGCTGTAGTCTCTCGGGAAAACCTCGGCAGGGAGCTCATTCCATAACCTGAGTGTTCGTGGGAGAAAGCATCTCTGAAACCGCGTTGTACGCGACCATTTAGGCTGTAAGGTATGAGGGTGAACTCCCTGCCGATGGCGAGCCGTACGATGATAGAAAGTGGCCGTAGGCATCATATTGAATAATTCCTCTGAGCACAATCCGTTGTATAAGCGGTAGAACACGCAGAGTGAGGCAAAATCTCTCCTAAGACTTAAGGGTTCGATACCGCTTGCAAGCATGGGATCATCGACAATTCTCATAGCTCGTCGTTGCACTGAGTCGAAGGGTTCAAGCTGGTATCTAGGTGCTCCCGCCCATAAGTGACAGCAATACTCCATATGGGGCCGGATTTGCGATTTGTAAAGCATTAATCGCTGATCCGGCGTGAAGTAATGCTTCGCTCTATTGAGCACACCGAGTTTTTTGGATGCCAGCTTCACCTTATCTTCGAGGTGGCCACGGAACTGTACGTCACTAGAGATGTCGACACCAAGGATCCCAATGCTTTTAGAGATGTTAAGAGACGTGCCTTGGAACTGTGGGGCCACAGCAAATGGGGTTTTTTTAGCGGTGAACGCGCAAGCTTGTGTCTTAGAGGGGTTAAATTGGACCAAGTTTTGTCGTCCCCAATCAGAGACTCCAGTTAGTGTTCTCTCGATTTCAGACACAAGCTGTTCACGATTGTTCTCCACAATGGAACGGGAGACATTGGTACGACCCGTATAAAGGGCATCCCCGGTGCTGTCATCCGCATAACAATGAATGCTACCGAAGGTTAACATATCATTAATATGCAGTAGAAACAGCGTTGGGGACAGCACAGAGCCAGACCCGGTCAAATGCCTTTGCAATATCAAGACCGACAGCAAGCGCCTCACCTTGACTCTCAATGGCTGATGCCCATCGGTGCGTAAGATATACCAAGAGGTCACCAGTTGAGCGACTATGGCGAAAGCCATATTGGCGGTCACTCAATAAATCGTGATCCTCTAGGTATTTTAACAGCTGTGCGTTAACTATACGCTCCATCACCTTAGAGAGAAGGGAAGCGATCGCAATCGGTCTGTAATTTGAAGGGTCCGACTTATCGCCCTTTTTAGGTACAGGATGTACAAGGGTGGTCTTCCATGTCGAAGGAAATTGCCCTGTGGAGTACGAGATCGTGAAGAGACGCGTTAATACAGGACACAATTCCGGAGCACACTGCTTTAGGACCACTGCCGGTATACCGTCTGGCCCACTCGACTTATGAACATCTAAGGATAGTAACTCCCGCCGGACTTTACATTGTGTTATAGTAATTTCCGGCATGGAGCTTCCGCAACACAAGATGGTAGGTGGTACAGAATTACCTTCGTCCATAGTCGAGTTAGAGGCAAAGAGAATGCCAAATAAGTCGGCTTTCTCTTTAGCACTGTAGGCCAAGTTACCATTCGGTTTCCGAAGTGGTGGAAAAGACGACTGACAAAAGTTTCCTTGGGCAACTTTAGCAAGCGACCAGAAAGCACGGTTACCAGAAGGAAGGCTTGATAGTCGCCTACCAATTCTGCCCACAAATTCAAATTTGGCTCTGGCAATTACTCTCTTACTGGACCTCGAAGCAGCATTTAATTTGCGCTTTGCATCACTGATTCCAGGATCAGAATTAGTGCGAGCCGTAGTCCAAGCCTTGTATGCAGCTTGCTGAGCAAATCTGGCTTTCTTACAAGATCGGTTAAACCACGGACGCTTCTTCGATCCCATTGCCACTAGCGGGTTGGGGATAAATAGCTTCATACCTTCAATGATAGCCTCGCTAACGGCAATTGCGCAGTCGTTAGGATCATGTGATGCAAAACAGAGCTGCTTCCACGGGTACGATGCATAAAATTCTCGCAATCCATCCCAGTCTGCTGACTTATAGTGCCACACGCGACGTCGTCCAATAGGACGGGGTGGATCAGGTCGAGTGTTGGGGACATCAGCCCGGATAAGACAATGGTCGGATGAGCCAATTGGCGCATCCACTCTGACGGTATATCCATCCGGGTGTGTTGTCAGCAGAAGGTCCAGCAAGGAGCTTGTATGGTTCTCTATATCTGGAATTCTCGTTGGAGAATGGACCAGCTGAGAGAATCCATAGGTCAGAGCAAATTCATGAGCAGCTTTTCCCGCGCAGTCAGTGGACCGAGAACGAAGCCACTCGGAGTGGTGAGCATTAAAGTCTCCAAGTATCACTAACTCCGCAGAAGGGTACTGCTCGAGAACCTTATCAATTGTCGTTTGCAGGTGCTCAAAAAGACGGAAGGTGTCCAGATCACCGCTGTGAGACCTGTAAAGGCACGCGTAAATACGAGTGTGGCTCCCGTAATCCACACGTATCCATAATACTGACAGGTCTCTGTCTTCAAGGCCATGGAGACGGCGGTAACAGACATCCGTCCGGATATACATACAAACCCCGGCATGACGAGCAAATTTATGCTCGAGTTTGTAACCGGGGTATAGTAAATAAGATGTATCAGCCGGACATGATATCTGCGTCTCGGTGAGGAATAACAGAGTCGGCTCCGCAGTTTCGAGATGATAGTGAATTGCGTTGATGTTAGAATGAATTCCTCTGATATTGCAGAAGTCCACTTTAAATGTGGATGAGGGTGCCGCTGTGTAACGTCTATTTTTTCTAGATCTGGCCATAAAGTATTAGGGTATTTGGAGGTTAATAGGGAAAGATTGTGCCGATATCAAAGGAACAAAGTGGTGTCCACTCTGTCCCTGCGCTAAACAGGTTGTGCAAATTGCCGACGCGGCGGTCGGAAGGGCCCCCGGTCCCCCCACTGATGTAGTAGCCGGGTCCACTCCGGTCTCCTCCTCCGGCACGACTACCACACCAGGGATTATGCACAGGCGGCGGTTCAGCCTCCCAGGGCGGAGATTAGGTAATCCCTGGATTCGGGAACCCAACAACCTGCGGGCGGCCAGCGAGCAACCGTTTCACCGGGTCTCCCTGAACGCCGCGTCAGCACTTCGCGTCTGCCCAGCACAAAGATAGTATTAAGACACGCTGGTCCCTCCGATATCAGCACAACCCCTCCCCAAGATGGAACTGGATACCTTACTCACCGCAGGAACACAACGCTATAAAAACAGCGTTGTTTGGCTGCGAACTTCTGCAAGGTGGAGGTCCTTCCCCAGGCGGGCGGTTCCATTTATGAGCGAGATCCCGCTGTGCCCTACCTCTCTTAAATTAAATATTATTATTTAATTAGAATCAATACTTATTATTCACTCTGTTTTTATTATATAGTTAATACATTTCTATGCTATATTATTCGTTCATATTTACAATAAGAGCAACAGTAATGTTTAATGTCCATTATTAGGCCCTTATTTTCAACGTTTTGGAATAACTAAGACTTTCGGAGTAGATATTTGCAATCAAACCACAATTATAAGTTATTTTAATATTGTATCATGGTATATACGTCACGTACATTGACTTAAGACTCATTCAAGGAGATCTAAATTATACTTGACTTGTAATTAAAAAAGATGTTTCGATTTAGATATCTAATAACAAGGTATGCGGATCGAATAAATTACACCAAAAACGTGTCGCAAGTACCGGAAGTAGGGTTGTCACGTACAGACATTAAATCATAACGTGGTCGCCTATTCCAGAGTTTATCATAGCCGCCACGAATCATGGCTATGCAGGAATGGAATTTTTGGCAGCTTCGTAACCTCGGAAGACAGCAGAGTTTTTGCATAACGTTAGGTATGCCATTATTAACTTATACGATGACAAATCTTTCGAATACAATTTATTTTCATATCTGTGTTACCATTAATTTCCGTCTCAGCGACTGATTTATCATAAGGAAATGCCTTGACAAAAATATTTTTACGATCATTTCTGAATATTATTATAGAGATGGGTGAAAAGTGTTTTTTGTCCCTTTCTAACTTTTTAAGCTTTTTATTATATTTGCATATGTTTTATATTTGCAAAATTTACTATCATTCAAATTCTAGGTACTAGAATTTGAATAATAGTAAACTAAGTATGTATAACACGTAAGTAAAGTAATAAGTAAGTATAACACAGGAAACTAAGTATGAATACTGCATGCAATTTGGTATAGTAGTTTTTTCATGATGCCTAAATAAATATACGGACAGACAGACATAAATTATAAATAAAATTGTTTTGGCTCCTGTTGTTGGCGAGAAAAATTGATATAAAAAGTCTTAATACAAGCAAGACCTTTCGTCTACTTAAATTTTAATATTTAGATTGTAAAATGAATGGAAGTAAGAAAGCATTGATTGAAAAATAGTACCTGCATAAGACAGCTACACGAAACACAACTGTCATATTTAAAAAGATTATGGGCTCTGTAATATTTTATACTACTACTTATACTGATTTTAACAATCCATAATTATTGAAATGCGTGCAGTCATTTCGGCTATATTGTGCCAGAAATTCTAACTCACACAAAAGTACACGTGAGAAGAAATACCTTCCTTACCCATTGGTTGTTTTATCAGCCGTTAGCTATCCACTGCTGAACATAGCTTTCCCCATAAGAGAGATTTTGCTAGTAGTTGCCACGCTTGGCAGGCGGGTTGGCAACTGCAGTTGGGCTTTTACTGATATTTTAGGAGGGTCGCTGCTGCCGATCTCTTTACCATAAGCTCCCTTAGTCACCTCTTACGACACTCACGGAAAAAGAAGGGGTAGCCTATTCTATGCCGGGACCTACTCGGCTATTCTCACTTTCACAATTATCCAGTATTCGGGTAAAAATACTCACATTAGCGATGGTATAGGAGAGATGTAAGTGGGAAGGCGAAGCGCGTATTACGGGGACGCCGGCGCGTACCGCTGCCGACACAACAGCGGATGCCGCGTCACCGCCACCGCAAACCAATAGAACCGCCACACGCCGCCCGCCGACCGCAGAGCAAGTTTGCTCCAATAATCGCGCGCTGAACCTGAAACATCATTGTGTGTTAAAGACTAGCGGTTTCCAACAGTTTTTTGTGCAACTTAGAATACCAAACAAAACATTCTGAATTGTCTTGATAGCCTATTTGATGGCTAGTAGTAATCGTCGCCTACAAAGTAAATTTGAATTATCATTAGCTTTCGTTTAAATTTGTACACTAAGTTTTTTTTTATACAACTTAGAATGGCAAACGAGCTGACGGCCCACCTAATGGAAAGTCGTAGCCGTTGCTTACAGACATGAGCAGTACCATGGACATAACAGTATACTGTTTCGCCCATGATTCCCCCCATGCGTTGCCATTCCTGAGGTCTCAGGTGTTATTACTCTGTACCCTGAAATTCACTGCCATATCCCACCCTTCAAACTGAAACACAGCCATGCAAATACAACTGCTTCACGGTAGAAACACGAATGGGACAGAGGTACCCAAGCAAACGAGTTTTGTACAAAGTCTCCCTCTGTATCATAATGAATATTTCTCCCAAAGAAATTGGATTCAAAATCGACAAAAATTTCAACACCCATACTGACATAAAAGATCTATATGTCAAATTAATATGAGAAACTATATACTACATTTTGTTTGTTATTTTTCGAGTCGAACTAACAATTCTTTTTATTTGCAGAAATATTCTGTAGATATTTATTCTATTCCATTGTTAAATATGGTTAACTCACTTAAAATATATACATGTTTCAATTTTTCAATATAAACATTACCGTGATAGGCTTCATGGGTTGTACTTCCTAAGAACTAAGACTTTATACCTAATAATTTCATAGTCATCTTGCAGCGTTCAACCCAAAACAAAGCTGTGCAAGCACAGCTTCTTGTCAGCAGAATTACGAATATGATAAACATTCAAACGATATGGTTTGTATGCAGACGACTTTAAAGAAAATCTTTCTCTAGTAGGTCTTCCACGCATAAATTAAATTAGAATAAAAATGTTCTACAATATTACGTTAAGCTGGGATATTATTATGGTTAGTCCGCGCGCAGAATTTTAATTAAATCCATTCAGTCGCTTAAGCCTGATTGATTAACAAACATCCAAACATTTATGTGCACTTACACTTTCACGTTTATTTATTACTATTAGGAGGATAAACTGATCTGATTTTTTTCTTTTTATATTTAGTATAGTACACAGTAGATATATATATATATATATATATATATATATATATATATATTATATATATTTTTTTTTTTTTTTTTTTTTCATATGTAGAAGAAGTTAATGAAAGTGTTAGCATAAGAAGCCGATGTGATGAATAATATATGCAGTAACTAAATATATAGATATAATTTGTAATCCAGAACATGTAGTCCTATCTTCAAAATTGTTCGTATTCTGGTCATTAAGTATAATGTGGTTGATAGATTGGTTTATCTGCTTGGTATTAACCTATCGATAGATACATTGACTTCTTTACCTTTGATGAGCAATCTCAAAATTTTACGTAACGGTTACATCAAATAAACCTAAAGGTGTCATAAAATTGGTAACACGTGTAAAATTTTCCAAATGGCGATCTAAAGATTCACCTGGAACTCTTATAGGTCTCCCATAAGTAAGCCTTGCTGAAAAAGCTGGTAAGTCTTTCTTAAAAGAACTCTGTATGCCCAAAATATCCATAGCAGTGATTCCGTACAAATACTATTCTATATCAAACCGAATATCTGGCCATTAAATTTAAATAGTATTATGAAAACATTGAAATTTATGGGGATGAATCTAAAACAGCTCTTATTTTTTAAATAAAGTTTTTTTCGACCAAGAATTGAAGCCGAGGTCTCATTTACACAAAACAACGTAACTACAACCACACCACGGAAGTCGTCTAATTAATTAATTACATTTAATATTTACTCGGCTACGAAAACTTCGGAACGTGCGCGATATATCAGACCCATCGGTTAGATATTTAGGAATGTACAACAGTAATGAAAATATAGGAAAATAAAAAACAAGAGTCTTCGATAGAAAGCTTGAGTATTCAGAGTGATTCATGATAACAGTATAATTATGGCTTCGGGCATGGATTTCATATTTAATATAATGATTTGATACCAAACGATAAGAAATTTCACATCGTTAACTTACTTGTAAATTATTTCTATCATACTTCAATATAGACACAGCTTCAGATATATTTGTTCTTATATTACTCGTAATGACGCATACAGCTATCTGCTGTACAATGACTAATGTCACTGCAGAAGACGGGTGACGCAAACACCGAACGAGTAGCTGAATAACTCACGGTACTAGGGCTTCAGAATATTTATGGAGATCTTGCTTACACTTAAACTAGCAAATTATTAATACTGCACTTTACTTCTGCTTTCCTGTTCTCTACAATACAATTTAAATGTGGAATTTAAATTTAAAAATTAATAAAATAAATTTTAAAGGTTCATAGGATATCTGTACATCTTACGGCGGTCCGGGAGATTGTGAAATCAATATATTTTTTTAATTTCATATAAATATTTTAAAATTTGTGAAATACCAATAACACAAGAGTATTTTAATAAATTGTCATTCTTTATTGTACTCATTGTTTTGTAATTGTATATTTTAGTTTAAAGCCTTTTTTAACACTTGCTTTCTTAACTTTGTTTATTTAGTTCTAGCGATCCGGCATGACTTCACACGGGTAGATAGAATTTTCGAAAATAATATGTAGCCTATATTACTCGCAAATAATTCCAATTTTGATAAAATAATTTATTGCAAATAAACAATCAAATATTTCTTTTTTATAATATTAATATTGATGACTGCACCTATAAACATTAATTAATAATATAAACAATGGAGAATAAAGGAGACAAAATGCTGGGCCATTTTTTTCAAGAGCATACTTTTTTTATGGGTGAAAATGGTATGGACACCCCACCCGCGCTAAGGGGATACGCCGGCGGAGCACCAGTGAAGGGTGATAGATGAGAATGAAAACAGGCCAGTTAGCCCATCATGGTGAATTCATCAGGAATTTACCATGATAGTTTCCAGGGGGAACCGCGGGGAGGTCGACTTATTGGATATATTGCTAGCAATGGGATTCTCAGTCTCCATTACTAACAATCCCTTTCCCCCCTCAAGAGCATACTAGAAGGAAAAATAGAGGGCAAAATAAGAAGGGGAAGACTGAGAAATAACTACTTGGGACAGATAAAGGAAACACTAGGTGTCACGTCATATAAGAGGTCAAATATATGGCCTGGAATAGTGGTAGCTGAAAAAAAATACATGAATTAGTGTCACTAACAAGAGAAACTTAAAAGAAGACCTATAAAGATGCTATGTTTATACATTAATAACCTAAATTTTTTTCATAACGACACGTAATGAGAAATAATATGTGAAAGCTTTTTCGGAAATGTACGCAATATATACACACCATTTATTTATTTCATTATTTTGTTAATGTCAAAAGCTTTAAAACTTGAAGAATGTTCATATTACATTTTCAAATTTAATAAATTAATGATCAAAGAATTATTTACAAATTCATTATTTATTGTACGTCGATTTCAACTGTCATTCGATCTTAGTAGATCACTTACATGTCGCATTGACCTATTTACATTATTATGTATGTTGACAATGGAAACATATACAGCTTGTTTCTCATTATAATTTAATGTAGAGCGTAGAGTTATTTATAGTATTCCTACTTCATAAGACAGTTTAATAACCATTTTAAATGAAATTATATTATATAATTGTAAATTAATGAATTATTAAGTATGTAGCAACGCCTACATGAGTCCTTTGTTCAATTTTTGATTGTTCTTATATTACAAATGTTTCTTAAGCGATTAATCTGCTTAATTCGGATTGTAAGCATCTAAAAATTGAATTAAACATTTCATTTAATTATTTGATTTATACACACATTTCTAAATTTGATCATTATTCATAAAGTACTATATTAATTTATGTTTTGCAAGTACTATAAAATAATATAATACAACAAAATATGAACGATTTTTTTAAAAAGACATATCAAAATATTTCGATAAAAATAAAACTGAAAATTAAATTAAATAAATAAATATTTTAAATATGCGACGATATATATAGGCAGTTATTTCATTTACACGTTTCAAGCCATTTAATTTCATTGCTAAATAATTAAATGTCAAATAAAAAATATAGTGTAATTAAAACGCAAAAATAAATAAGGCGAGCAGTATTTGTCATTTATACAGAAATATGTGTAAATATATTAACACTCTTAATTATTAATAATTAAAAATATTAACATATGCGAAAATTTTAAAAGTTTATTATTTAATTTTATTATAATATCATTGACTGAAAAAAATCATAATTGGATATACTTTTGTTTTTAAAATTGTAACACAATTATTTATAGAAACTTTCTTAGCACTATACTTCAAATTATACTGTAAGTAACTAAAATAAAGGTATTTACGAGGTTATTTAAAATATAATAGTTGTCACCGCTGGAAAAAAATTCGCAGGCAAACAAATAAAATAGTATCACCCTATGTCAGTACTCGCAATAAAAATACAAACGATTCTAGTATACTACTAACATTAGAACCACAGCAATATTTATTGAATATTCTATCTAGTCTTTATACACATTTCGACGTCTTAGAAGTCGTTTGAAATTTAAAGGGTTAAAAGCGTCGGATAAGACGTTCGTGTTTTATTATAACAATGTCTAACCGAGAATATCCTGAAGTATTTGGTCGTTTTGAGAGAACAGTCGAAGATGGAACAATTTTGACATTCGAAATTTCAGATATTCCAGAGTCAATGTGGAGTACTGCGGTTGAATTTATGCTGGGAAATTACATAAGAGAAGATGTTTGGTGGACTACGGTAGGTACGTATACCTATAAATATCCCATAATATTTATTTATTTATATACATATTCATATAATAAATAATGAATTAAATTTGATAAAAATGAGTTTTTTTATGGCAAAAATATTAAACTAATTCAATGGTTACTATTATACAGATATCATCATCATCATCATATCAGCCTTTAACTGTTTACTGCCGAACATAAGCCTCCCCTTTAGGGGGTTTTTCCAGTAGGTTCCACGCTTGACAGACAGATTGGCAACCGAAATTAGGTTTTAGAGATGTTAGAAATACAGATGTGTACCCTCATAATTTAAAAACTACCCCTCTGCTAATTTGTCTAAATCATTTAGTAGTTATATCTATAAACGCGATTATATATTTCTGCATTTTATTAATTTTATATATAATATAAGCACAAACTATGTCTGTTTTAAATAAATAACGTACAGAGGAATAACATCTGAGTCCTTAGGAATGGCAACGCATGGGGGGTATCATGGGCGAAACAGTATACTCTGTTATGTCCATGGTACTGTTCATGTCTATAGGCAACGGTTACCACTTTCCATCAGGTAGACCGTCAGCTTGTTTGCCATTCTAAGTTGAATAAAAAAAATAAATTAAAAATCATTTTCGGAAGAAACTGAACGAAGCTTTAATCTCTTAACGTACATTAATCAATGAATCTAATCTGCGCGTGAGAATTTTTTGCAATTAGCAAAATCTCCTCTTATATTATGGAACACTTTCTTCTTACGCAAGAAAATACCTAAGTCATTAGCTGTATTCGAGATGCGGACGGATTGAGCGCTCAATTACGTCCGGAGATAGAGGGGAAGGGAGAAGACCTTAAATGTGGTATCATTATACATCCTTTTCCTTGGCCTTTTGCTCGTCTATGTTTCAAAATTATAACTTGATCCGCTGTACTTTGGCTGCGCAATAAAGAACAGCTTAAGGTAACGAATAGGCTTTCAGTTTGTCATCCAATTTTATAATACGAAATTTTTGAGTAAATTATTTGTTAGCCAAATCTGTTTTGTGAATAATTGTAATTATAAATGAAAATACCGGAAACTGTATAGGTACGTGTTTATAAAGGAAGAAGTTTTTAGTGCATTTATTATTTTACATTATAAATAGAGAGTAGACTTTTTTGTATATACCTATGCTATATGAAATCCTTGTTAACGCTGAACGGTTTTAAGAATTCTTCTTCGATAATATTTGGTTTCTTTAGCTTTTATCCCGTCTTTCATGTATAGCCTATTAAAAGCAGACCCAATTAATTTGTCCATTATATTATTATAATGTAAGAGTAACAAAATTTGAAGTCCATGAAGCTCTATTTTATGTACAATACAAATAAAGTTGACAAAGCCTTCATTTCGTGAATGTGAACTAATAAATTCAGAGAATATAAGCAAATAAGCACGTCTCGGAATAATCTTGAGAATTGCGTTTCTTTTGCGGAATAAAATTGTTCAGGCAGAAAGGCCTATTCAAATGTAGGTAATGTGATGAGTAATTAATTAATTTCGAATGTCGACAGGCACGGCGAAGAGTCTTGAGGCTGTGCAAGAGTACAGAGTGCTACTGACATCGATCGTTAAGCAGAAAATGAGTTTGGCATGCTTCCTCGCCGCCGGAGACGGTTCAGGACACACGCTTGTCGGTGTCAACATTTGCTTGCCACAAGAAAAGGGACGCTTCATTGAACACACCCCGGTGATAAATGCTTGTGACAAATCTTCAGCATTATTAACGTAAAATTAAAACTAACTGAAGGAATTAGTATTATAACAATAGAATTCCTTTGTATTTTTAACGTTTTTTTCTTTCTCATTATATATTTAAAATGGCATACTTATTGAAGGTCTATTTAATCTAAAAGGGTAACAATATTATATACATTATATTTGGTATATAATAATATTCGTGACATCGCTCATAGACTTGTAGTTTACCCACAATGATATATTATTAAATATAGATGTAATAATAAACAAGGTACTATAAAACCTATATATTAAACGTATTAATCTGGATCCAGCCTTATTTGATCTTTTTTATCAGAAATACAATCTTTTTATTTTAGTTTCCATTTTCCGTTGCCCTTGCTATTATTCTCTGACCCTAGATCCATTCCCATTTATTCACCCGTCTTTACCCATTCGAGGCCGACCTAGTTTTCGCCTTTCGTTATTCTGCCAGAATCTCGTAGAACTAATAATATTATCTACGTTTAAAATTTCTTATCATTGAACATATTGCGAATACAGAGCGACGATTAATTAAACAAAATTATGTTACTATAAAATTAAACAGTTTCATTTCTAGATAAATTTTATTTACTACAGCGCAGTTAATTCATATTATTCATATGTACCTATTATGCTAGAAAGAAAATACTTTATACAGTAAAAATAAATATAATGCAAAATAGTAAGTTAAACAGTACTATAAAGGTACAAAAAATAGTGATATCGATCCTAGCATATTAACAATAGACAATGGAATCTTATAAAAATATTAGATTGAAAACTTTTGAATTTAATATGCACAACCAAATATCTACAAGTAGATTTTGCTATGCGATAAAAAGTATATTTTTCAAAAGAAAAAACAGCTACAGTTACAATACGGAAGTAATCGGATATGAAAAAGAATTATCAAAATCTGTTCTGCATTTGCAAGGTAACCGTATATTGTCAAAAAAAATTACTTAGAAACCTCTTTTAGTTGTACAAATATCTGTAAATAAAATTTATGTCAGTGTTTTAGTAGTCGTGACTATTGGCAATTGTTGTTGTAAATTTGCATATATATATATATATATATATATATATATATATATATATATATATATATATATATATATATATATGTAAAAAAAAACTTGTAATTTTTTACAAAACTATAAAATTATAAAACCTTTTTTGTGGAAGAATAGTGTTTTTCTAATAATGTCAAATTTTGTTCAAGTAGCAGCAATTAATTTGCTTTTCTAAATAGAGTACCTAGTTGTTTGCTAACGTTAATAACAGTGCTGTAACGTAACTTTATACTACCTAATAGAACTAGTTAGCCAGTTGACAATTGAATTAAAAGCTGAATAAAGTGCGAGTTCGATCCGACAGTTTAGTGCTCGCATAAACTTATTATAGCTGACCAGCATACAAACATTGTAAAATTATAACTGTAATAACATATTATTTTGTAATTGTTAACTATTTATTGTTGGCATTGGATGGGACATTAAATTCATATTTTTGTAAATTCTTGTTAACATTTTATTATTTTTATGCTTTTATTCCTTAGCAGGTGTTGTCATTCGAAACTTGATTAACTGTGTGTGATGTTATTAATATTATGTATACCTTAATGATAATTTGTAAAAAAAGCGTATTATTATTAATTATAAATTTATTATATACAATGTGTATATATTTGTTCAATTTTAAATATATATATAAAGAACAACATGCGTACAAATTTTATATACATATTGATTTTTTCTGAAACAAGTAAATTGTTAGAGCTACATAATATATGCTAGTTTGTAACTATTCTAATTGTTTAAAGTATATATATATATATATATATATATATATATATAAATATACATAATTAAAGGATTCTTACGACGATTATTTATTTTATATGGGATGCGCTGCTTACGCTGCTTAAATAAAAGTAAAAACATATTTACTTACTAATATTATAACTCCTAAAATTATAATTGACTTGCATATACAATTTTTAATGCATATTTTATTACACCTTTTGGGATCCGAGAACGTCATCTCTATACGAGTCGTAATATTATACACTATATTAAAAACATATTTTATGGACACAATTTAATAGCAAGAACGTAGTTTGAATTTAAATTGAGTGAGAACGTAATTGAAGCAACAGAATTGGAAGTAAACAAAATATTGCAGCTATCTGATTGCAGTTTATTTAGGTAACAACCTAATTAGTGAACGAACATAATTTCATTTGATAATATGTCAACTGAGCATTTGAAGCATTATAAAATATTAAAGTACATATATTTCATTAGACCAATTAATATCTACTTTTATAATTATAATAAATAAAAACTAATATTAATTTCTCCCTATTTTAGTTTAAAAAATTGATACACGCCGTGATCAATATTTCACAAAAAATTACATTAAAAATAATATATTTGCAATGCGAAACTGAATGTTAACAAATACTCGTACACGAGTAGATAGTACTTTTATTTTACGCAAATAAAGTCCGCAACATCAATCGTCACTTTATATGAAACCAGTATGAAAGTAAACTATATCCATTGAAAAAAATATCAAAACCGCGTAACAAATACACATAAAAATATACAGACGAATTGAGAAGTTCATCATTTTAGAAATTGCTTTAAAATATTTACTGGTTATAAGGTACTCTTTGTACACTAGTTGCCTTATCTATTCATGTTTTATTAAGCAGTGTGAAGTGTTCTTAAGTGATGTACATATTATTTTGTTCACAGCCCAAAACGAAGGCAGGTTTGGTATCGCTACGTATGTTCGTGGAAGCTATGAAAGTGACAGTGATATATGATAAATACAACGTGAATGAATATCTCATGGGAGCTGGCCTTTCTGTAACACCAGAATACAGGGGTCTCGGCATTGGCGTGGAATTACTGAAAGCAAGGTTCGTCTTAAATTTCTTGTCAATGAGGCACAAAAGTAAAACCTAAGGGGTACGGTTAAATTCGATGACACTTTAGTGGCATTGATGTATTGATTGATACAAAAACGTGACAATTCGTAAGATACTAGTGTATCTTACTCTATGTTATTTTTCAACCGACTTCAAAAAGAAGAAGGTTCTCGATTCGTTTGTATTTAACTTTTTTTATGATTGAACCTTCAGTTGTAAACCGATTTCGTAAATTATTTCTTTATCTGAAAGGAAATAGTTACAGATTGGTTTTAAAGAAATTTTATCAAAACTGCTTCAGTAGTTTAGCTTTTAAATCAAAACAAACTGGTTTTGTCACAATCGAAATCAGTTTTTTTTGTAGAACACAATCTTACATTGTATTAATTAAAAACTTTAAAAAGAATTAAAACTATTATATTTTAAAACTTTTCTATTGAACTAAGGAAAGATCTCAATTTAATTATTTAGTTTACTTTCTGCACTACATACATTATCCAATTGGAAAATGGGGAAGAAAGGTTATCAGTTAACGATCCCGTATAATCCAACGCAATACAGGACGATCCCCTCGCCCTCTATATACTCTAAATAGAGCGACGATCTCGAATGTATAGTACCATTGAATGCAAGTAGCTCAAGATTTTTCCTTATAAAAGAAGTCTATCTTCAACTGGGAACAATAAATTTAACAGTTAAAATGGTTTTTGTCCATAGTATCCCATAATATTATTAACAGCACAGTTAACAAATAATATTTGTTTTGTTAACTGCAATTTAATTGAATGTAAAATAAAAGACTTTTCTCATTTTCAGATTGAAACTAACAAAGACTTTAGGTCTTAGAGCAACTGGTGGCATATTTACAAGTATGCAGGCGCAACGAGTGGCAGAAAAAGCGGGCATGGAGTGTTTGTATGAAATAGCATATAAAAAGTTCGGGAAACAATGCCATGTAACGTTTGACACTGATACAGAGTATTTAAAAATATTCGGAAAAAGTGTTGAAAATTAAGGAAATCTGTTAATTTAACAGCTTTTCTTGTAACGACACCCAGAGATTTATTTCAGGTGGTTAGTTAATTATAATTAATGTAAGATTAAATACTCGAAAAAGTAACTAAACTATTTTGCTAGGCCACCTATATTAAATAAAAAAATTGTTTTATAATATCAATTACGCTTCTTATTTTAAAAATTATACTGTTTTTATTACTTTATGTGTGCCAAGTATGTAGGTAACGTAAAACAGTCAATATGGCCCTCAAGCCCTTTTTTTCAAATTTTAATCAGCTTGTTTTTTTTTTATTATTTATATTAATCAAATTGTTAAAAATAGAACCTGTGACGTATTACAAACATCGCATTTAAAAATTCATGGAATATAAATAAATAGACATAAGAGTCATATTTATCTATATTGTTTAAAATACGACGACATACACACATTATGTTGTTCTCCTATTTCTTCAACATAAGAGAGTTATAGACTATAAAGTATGCACATTACGCACGTAATATATAATTTTTACGCAGGACTAAACAACAGTGTTAACAAAAGGACGTGACATGACGTCATTTCAAAGGTTTAAGACTTCTGCGATTAATAGTCTGTGGGGCCCGACTTTATGACTCTTCTGAGAATAGCAGGGATGATAAATGATCTCCATTTCTGTGGACTATAACTGGCTGGACTTTAATTTAAACGATAAGTAAGTCATATACTATTTGAAGAGAATACGGCCGCATGATTATTATATAAGAGTATGCTTTCTTGTTATTCTTCAATGTTACTTAATGTACTTAAATATTCATTTATTTGTCGCAAAGCTCGAAAACAATAATCTCAGTATTATAAATTAACTCACTGTGAGTGGGGCAAGTCACTCTCCTAATCTCTTATATAGAAATCTGAAGTTGATAAATTATTGTTGTGCGTTTAGTAAGGAACTGTATTATAAATATAAATCATATGATAATAAGTATAAATAAAATTCATAATAGCAGAAATTATGTATTCTTTTTAAGTATTTACCTATTATCATCATCATTCTTAACAATTCGTTAGAAATTTATGTCTGATTACAACACTACGTAAGCCAAGCAGCTTACTATATATTTTGACGGAGTAAAATAAACGCACAACTTTTTACGAGTAATCCACAAGGGCATGGTTCATGATACTGATATAAATAGAGAACTAATTTCTAAACAACTAATTCAGTTTCAGTAAATTTACTTTCCAAGCTCTGTAGCCTAATGATTTTATAGTTTATTTAATCATGTAAATACTAAAGTAACTAACTAACATTCTATCTAGGAATTATTCATTGCGGCAACCCTTTAGGGTATTGGTGTTATACGAGTAGGTACTAGCGAGAGCATATAATAGTTTCTCCCTCTATGAACGGTTTGAATCCCTCTTGCAATCTTATCCTTGCCTCTCCAATATGTGAGATTGCCGGAATTATTATATTTAATACAATAGAAACTCATATTAATAATAAAAAGCTTTGAAGTCTCTCCTATTTATCTCTACATTCCAATTTACATGGACTGATTATAAAAATCGTTAATAAATCATGTTCACACAATCGAAACAACGGGCGTAGCTAGTATGTTTTATTATCTGAGTATACAAATATATTGATTTGAATTTTTATTTTTATTATTGTGGCTTTAATCTGCTACTCTCTGCAATCAATTCCTAAAAGACTCTGGATGAAAAGAATAATATTTGCTAATCCAAGACAGGGCCCACATAAATATGCAAAAATTTCATTCAAATCCTTTTAAGCCTTTAAGCGTGATTGGGTGGCAATCATCGAAATATTTTTTTTTGGATTTTACTTACAACGATATCTCCATGATTGTTATGTTGTTACGAGTTTATATTATTCAATTTTGTAAGATTACTGAAAATATGAGATGATTTTTTTTTTACAATTATTACAATACAATATATATGATCATCCTAAACCATTAACTAGTAACCTTCAATTGTTTCTAATATATAGATATATATGCAAATCTTCGTCCATAAATCTCTATAAGCCACGAAGTTACAGTAACATAGGTTGATACAATGTATCACATATTTTATGTATGATGATATCTAAACCAATCCCCAGGCCAGCTCAAGCTTAGAATTAGCCCCTACCATTAAAGTAAATTGAAACAAACCTTGTATATTTAATTACCTACTTAATCCTTATCTCGTTTAGAAGTTTGGATACAATTACATACTGAAGCCGAGATTTGGGACAATGTATTAATATTGACAACGTCCGTAGTATATTGGTAACAAATTAATACCCTACGTTCTCGTAAATGAAGTTCGGAATTTAATGATCCGTCACTTTCTTAAATGAACTAAAATAAATTATATTTTATAACTAAATATATATATATATTCTTTGGTCTCAAGGTACAAGTTGCTACAGATAATAATAATAATAGGTTATTCAAAGTAAGTTATACAATCGTCTTTAAACATAGAAAACCCTGCTCCCTTAATAGGTAAATCCTGTACTTTAGGATAAGCAGTACTCTTCCCTATAAGATATAATGATTCAAAATATATTAAATGGGAAACAGTAACACTTGAGGTACCTACTAACGAATAATACAATTTGTTCAAATAATATTTTGTAGGTGAACCATGACAGCCTAATTCGTAATTCTATATTCTGAATATAGACAATAGATAGCTAATAACATGTAAAACTTGATGCTTATAGAGGAGCAAACTGAGCGATCTTTTCGCGTACATATTCTAGCTATTATCCGCGAAAGTCATCAAAGAAGATCCGCAACATTTCCAAAATGCTTGTCATTCCTGTGAAAGTGAACATACCACCAATAAATTCAAAATTTTTCTCTAGATTCTGTTTTAACTAAATTTTAAAAATATTTCATATTTAAATGTCAAAGTTATTCTAGTACCGAGCTTAGTAGTTGCCGTAATAACGTTCATACAATTATCGATATTTACAAGTAAGATTGAGTTATGTTGATCGATATTAAAGTCTGTCTATCTATCTATTCTATTTAAGAACTGCGCTCTTGCCGATGGAGCTCTTGCCACTCACTACGATTTTCACCTCTCTATACGACACGATATCAACTCCTTCCTTGATCTGCCTAATGTAACTACATATAACTATGTAACTAAGTCTATCTACGTAAAGAATATTAATAAAGAATTATATGTTTTGTAAATATAATGAAGAATCCTATTAATAAGAATTTTATAGTCATTACAATTGCGCGGGTGGTGATACCCTATGTATCGATATCAAGTTATAGATTGATGTCAATACTATTTAATTCCTAGATTGAAGGATTGGTTAGAGTTATGTCAACTGTCATGTGATAGATAAAAAAAGCGTTAACGCACACTTTTTATTTTTATCCGAGCAGTAAGTACTTTATATTATTCTCAATTTCGTGTATAATATAGTATATGTCATATATGTGTAAGTATATTTGTTATTTATATATATTTATTCGTTTATATATGTAATTTTAGTACGTATGTATATCAATAATTAGTAGTACCGCATTCGAGTATTCTGACACTTCCCTATGGTTGACTGGGAGAGAATGCTTTTAGCATTAAGTTCGCCATGTACACATATTTGTACTAATGAATAAATAAATAAATAAATAAATAGATAAGCTATAACATTCCATCCTCATACAAAACGCTCAATATTATCCATCTCCTCTATTTATGTTCTCCTTCTAATATTATGAGTTAATGTGATAGTAATGTGAAGAAGTTAAGGTAAAAATACGTAGGTGTTTATTACTCAGTCAATCTTTAATACCTGTCAGTATTCAATAAAGTCTAATATATAACTAAATAATTATAAAATTTTTGTATAGATGCTTTTTATCAACATCTTATTCATTCAGACTACCTGTAACTTCGAGAGCATCTGTAGGTTTTTTTATGTAACTTAAAATCGCACACAAACTGACGGCCCTCCTGATGGAAAGTGGTAACCGTCGCCTATAGACATGATCAATACCATGGACATAACCGGGTATATTGTTTCGCCCATGCATAGCCATTCCTAAGGACTCAGGTGTTATTCCTCTGTACCCTGTAAATTCACTGCTATTTCTCACCCTTCAAACCGAAACACAGCCATGCAAACACAACCGTTTCTCACTAGAAACACAAATAGGACAGAAGTGCCCAAGTTAACGACTTTTGTACAAAGTCTCCCTCCGGTAAAGGTATTATCTTCTACCGGAGAGTACCTACCAATGGTCATGATGATCTTAATTTTGTCACTATTGTATATTTGACAAAATTCAAATTGCTATAATAATTGTAACTATACTCCGCTTATCCCAAATCATTGCCTTGGTGTTTTAGTGATGAGTTCTGGCTAAAGCTAGAAAGCTTTCGGCAAACCTGGATCTTTTCTTGTATTAAAGAGTTACAGGAAACTGTATTCTATTCGATGCAATGTGTCCTAAGTATAGCATGTACTTAACAACATCTTTAACATCGAAATTACATATTTGGCTTGAAAGTACATGAGCTTTTAATATCCTTGTTTCAGAAGGATTACTGAAAAATAAGTATAATGTCCGCAGGGATAAATTTATTCTCAGTATTGCAGATAATGCCTATATTTTATACAGGTTATCTTAATCGCTAATTACATTTTCTTTTCGCAATTTATCATTGTATCAAAATGATCGTTTCTTTTATATTACGTTGTAGTCTGGGTAACTATGTACCTGTTATGAAATGTCAATTTATTGATCGTAAACTTGAAAGGAAGTAGGGCGTCAAACTGTCACACAAACACAGTGTGAATCATTTCATTGTCTATGGACTGCGTTAGTAACATATGTACTTATAACATGTTTGTTATAAACTTATGTAATCCTAGTATTCTACTATTTTAAATATGATTATATAAAAATATGTACAAAACATAACTGTGTACTCGTATGTTTTATAATCGATTTTTTATTTTTTTGTAGAGCAAAATGTTTCACAACGGACCTATACTATTCATATAATTTATCGATTTTTCACTGATATATCAATAAAAAATGGACCAAGATTCATTAGAATATCGACACACTATTATAAGTATGTTGAATTACTCATATATTATTTATCATAGACAGCATTTGGGTCATTTAGAATGAAGAAGCTACATTTTATCCAGGTTAATATCAGAATACCTCAATCTCGTGAATAAAGTTCAGGGTGCATTTCATCTATAATAAAGAGTCTGAACTGTGAAAGTGTAAGGAGGAGGAGGTCTTTGTGATATTCTTAGTATATGATTTTTTATCGTCAATTCCTATGTATATTTATATCTTTTAAGTAGTGTATTCGTTGTTTTACATACAATACCGTCAGTACTTATGGGTATACAACAAATAGATACATTGTGATATGAATATTAACCTTTCATCTTCTGGTAGCTCGATGTATAGAGGCTGTAGTGTGATGTTTCGTAGATGAAGTGGGTTGTCGCCAGCGAGGTACGTGTGTGATATCTCTGCCAGCGAGTGATTGAAGGCGCGCACGACGGCGGCGGCCGAGGGCGGCGCGGCGATGCCCACGAAGAACGTGGCGCGCGCGTCCGCCTGCAGCACACGTAGCTCGCGCCCTCCGGCGGTCGCGGCGAACACTGCATACGCACACCACGCCGCGCACGCGTACCACGCAACGCACAGCGACAACGCGCGCCTGCGCATCACGCCCCCCCGCACCGGCCTCACCGCCGCCCGCGCCCCTCCCTCCCCCCGCACCACGCCGCCATCGCCAGCGCTCGATCAACACCATCCACGCTCAACGCCCCACCCCGCACCACAGATTTATTCCCTTTCTAAACATTTACTCACACCCGAATTGTCACTGAATTTTTACCCGTTTATACCAATATTGAGAGGTTCACAAATATTTACGTACAATTTTACATCAATATAACGCTGATTTTTATGTAATGGACGGTTTTAATATTATGAAAAAGATTTGACCCGTAATTTCAATTACGCTTTAGCTGCCGCCGGCGTATCTGAAACAAAAGGAAATTTCGTTGTAGTTGCCGTATACATACAAATAAATTTACTAAATATGAAAAAAAAAATTAATTCGGTTAGTAACAAACAAGTTAGATATATTACAATTAATTTTAATGAAAATAAATGTTAAAAGGAATATAAGTAACCAGAATAAATAGATATCCAGACACAATAAAGGATGAATAGAAGTTCATCTAATAATAATAATACAACTAGCAACAAATATCTTATAATCACTAGAATTTAAAAGTCCTTAAACTGAACTGGTTTCATTGCCATTATAAGAGAAAATAAAAACAGCACGTGAAAATCGGGGATGTTAAATTTAATTCAAGAATAAAATTATTTTGTAGTTCCTCAAGCACTCAAGCCAATACTTTTTTATTTTGAATATGACCTTATGTAACTGAGATTATTTGGAAGAAAATACTTATATCATTAAGTTCGATTTGTTTACATTAATCTAAAGAATAAATTGAAAAATTGCAAATCTAAATTAATTCTTAATCATTACGATTATTGGACAAATTAACGGTATTTTTTTTTTTTTTGTATATGCTATGCAATATTTACGTCTTTCGATACAAAATTTTAACATCGGAATGAATTAATTTAATTCATGAAATAATCATCAAAATTGGTTCAAATCCAAAAACATCCCACACATTGGTATATGTTATATACATAATGCGAAGAAAAATTGATAAATATAGATGCTTTGTTATGAAATATAAATAATTGTACTTGACAGGACATTCCAGGTTGAGTTGTTTCCATTGTTCAACCTACTATAGATTTATTGAAAGAAGTAAATATTTATAACATTGGTAATACATGTTACTTCTGAGTTCTTTTTATTCAGTATCTACGTAACGACAATGACAAATGATACATATACTTATCCGGTAAAGACTGATTGATATTTTTATCTGTGTTACTCAACCTATTACGCATTTCGGTTGGTTCTTTTCGTCTGGCTGAATTTAGTTGATGTCATAGGTTGTTTCAAGAACCGACTCGAGTCCTGTCGTAATATACTTGCCCTATATATTTTCACGAAAAACGCGCGTTGAGTAAACGTCTCTCATTAATTATTCTGGATATACTCGCTGGCTGTAGCAAAATCAACCCCTGAATTACGGTAGACATTTTGAAAGGATGAGTTTCTACGTTGTATTTGTATATAAATATAGACACATTATCTATAATGGTGATGTTGTTAGAATACAATACGTTATCACCACTTTACATCCTTAGGATATCATAAGAACTTGCGAAGAGAACCAAGGACAATACATTAATGCAAGAGAAGAAAATCTTTAAATTTTTTTTTTTTTTTACAACACAGGGGGCAATCGAGCATGCGGCTCACCTGATGGTAAGTGACTACCGCCGCCCATGATCACCCACAACACCAGCGGCATTGCAGGTGTGCTGCCGGCCTTTTAAAAAGGAATATACTCTTTTCTTGAAGGTTATGTTGTCGTATCGGTTCGGAAATACTGCTGCTGGAAGTTGATTCCAAAGAATGGTTGTGCGTGGAAGAAAGTGCCTTGAAAAACGCACGGTGGAAGACCGCCACTCGTCCAGATGATTGGGATGAAACTTTAGTTTGTGGCGGGTTGTACGGTGGTGAAAATCAGCAGCAGGTATCAATCCGAACAATTCCTCAGAACACTCCCCATGATAAATTCGGTAGAAGATGCACAGAGATGCAACATCTCTGCGCAGTTTCAATGGGTCAAGTCGGACAGTAAGGCGTTGACTATCGATAATTCGAGCCGCCCGACTTTGAATGCGGTCTAACGGAAGGAGTTGGTACTGTGGCGCTCCTGCCCACAGGTGAGAACAGTATTCCATATGCGGCCTGACTTGGGCTTTATATAATTTCAGGCGGTGTTCTGGCATGAAATATCGTCTCACCCTATTGAGCACTCCTAACTTTTTGGAAGCTATCTTAGCCTTCTCCTCCAGATGACCGCAAAACTGGACGTCGCAAGATATATCAACGCCCAGAATTCCTAGACTCGACTTTTTATCAAGGGAAGTGCCCTGAAAGTGAGGATATACGACAAACGGCGTTTTTTTTGCGGTAAACGCGCAGACTTGTGTCTTTTTGGGGTTAAATTGGACAAGATTTTGTTCACCCCAGATCGAAACTTGATGGAGTGAAGTTTCGATTTCAGACACAAGTCTATTCCGGCACTCATCGGTATGTGCCCGCGAGATCTTTGCATGACCGGTATATAATGTATCTCCTGTACTGTCGTCTGCATAGCAATGAATATTACTTATCTGTAACATATCATTGATATGCAGAAGAAACAGAGTCGGAGATAGTACACAGCCTTGCGGGACACCAGCATTCAAAGGTTTTAAATCAGAGCATGCTCCGTCGACTACGACCTTAATGCTACGTTCCTTGAGAAAACTGGCGACCCAAATGCACAGTCTCGCAGGCAACCCAAATGAAGGTAGCTTTGAAAGCAGCGCTCTATGCCACACCCGATCAAAGGCCTTCGCGATATCCAGACTAACTGCTAAGGCCTCTCCCTTACTCTCGATTGCCACTGCCCATCGGTGTGTTAAGTAAGCTAAAAGATCACCGGCCGAACGTCCCTGTCGAAAGCCGTACTGGCGATCACAGATCAGCTGGTGCTCTTCTAGGTACCGGAGCAGTTGACGGTTAATAATGGATTCCATAACCTTCGAGAATAAGGAAGTGATAGCTATGGGCCTATAGTTAGCTGGATCTGAGCGATCTCCCTTTTTAGGGATCGGATGCACCAGAGCAGTCTTCCAAAACTTTGGGACTATGCCCGATGAGTAGCTAAGCCGAAAAAGACGCGTAAGAACCGGAGCCAACTCTGGTGCGCACGTCCTAAGCACAATTGGAGGAATACCATCAGGCCCACTCGACTTATGGATTTCGAGGGAGAAAAGTGCTCTACGCACTGAGCTATGCGTGAATTTAATGTCAGGCATAGAGCTCCTACAACACGTGATGGTCGGTGGTGGTTTCTCCCCGTCATCCAATGTCGAGTTTGACGCAAAGATGGATCCAAGAAGATCGGGAATAAAATAACATAATGCCATACGACATTAAACTCGCCATTTATACAAATGTTATTGTACACTTAAGGATAAATAAATACAACCCTGTACCCTTAACTGAAAACCTAAAAATCTCTAGACTTTTCTAATTCGCAAGTACGTGCAAAATAAACAGTTTATTTAAAAAATAGTCTATTGATCACAATCACACTAAGCTACTTGGAATACAACCTTATACTAATAGGGCAGGCCTACTATATGTAATGCCTTCTTGATAACAAAGTATTACTTGCTCTGTGATAATGACCTGTAATTTGTTCATATACTTCTCACGCCATTGGTTATTGTATTATTATAATTTGACCGTAGTAGTGTCCATTAATTCTTCTTATTACTATCACTTGCTAAATCGACTACCATTAGTATAATAGCCAAAGATGAAGTCGCTACAGGTTGTCGAATCATTATCGTAGCAATATTTATTGTAATTTTTCTTACACTCTCGCAACGCGTGAAATGTGTTAAATTTCATAATGTTTATAATTCAAATACAATTTGAAAAATAATCACATTGACCATTAAAAATCATGACATTACTTAATAACTAGAACAAAGTTTTAAAATTTAATGGCATGTAATGAATATTTTGCAATAATTACCAAAAACAAATTGGATAAAAATCAATATTATTAAAATTTAACACAAAGTTGTAGCCATTTAAATTTTGTGTTTATAAATGTACTTATTTGAAGAACTATATTTAAGAAAATTTTACATTATGAACGAAGTGTGGTTTTAATTTTTTTCTTCTTTTTTACAATTGAAAAAAAATAAAAAATAAAGTCAACTAAAGATATTTAGTCGAAGAAATAATAATCTCGTAACTTTATACTAGTTTTTCTCCGTAACTTTGTCTGCAAGACCGAAATAAATAATTTGATCATGTTAAAAACTAACCTGTGGCCTTGTCTATCGTAAATAACGTGTGTATATCTATATACATATATAACGGGAAATTAATGAAGTCATTGTATTTTTCCGTTCCCGACAATTGTTTCGCTTTCATACGAGACCCTTCTACAGGAGGAATATGACGAGTTTTTCTGAAACGGCAAAACACAGTGAGTTCATTAATTTCCCGTTAACAAATGAACATAAGTTTTATAAATAAGTATACAAAATTTTATAACGATAGGTTGTATTGTTAAGGTGCATAGTAAAGTTACGTTTATCATATATATGTATATATAAGCATATATAAAATCTCTTATTTGATTAATAACTATCACAATCAGCTAACAAACCCGAATTATAAATTTAATCGGTAAGAGAAACTTACCAAGTATATTATAAGTACAACAAATATATAAAGCTCTCTTATAAATAAAATAAGTGCTACCATCGCCATCTCAGTGACATTTAGAGGAAGATTGTTCCATTGAGTGAATACGCTCGAAGTTAAAATTATAGGTCTTGAGGCGTACCCTCGTCACAGGCCTCAAAGCAGCTAATTGAAACTGACTTGTTATTCACCTACCCTCGGTTTAATATTAAATTTACCCAATGAATGAACTAATCTCTCCAAAAATATTAATTTTATTCGTTAAACGTGCTTTTAACCGCAGCCACGTCTGCTTTCACTTT